CCCCCACATTCCCTGGCCCACCAGCCCCGCTGGCCCCAGGCCTCAGGGAGCAGACACCAGTCACTCCTTCCTCACGAGGGTGGAGCAGTTCACGCTGCTCACACGCACTTGTCCATCGGAGTGGGGGTCCTCTCTAGGAATCTCGTTTTATTTATTTATTTTTTTAAAATATATTTTATTTTTTACGGAGAGGAAGGGAGAGGGATAGAGAGTTAGAAACATCGATGAGAGAGAAACATCGATCAGCTGCCTCCTGCACACCCCCTACTGGGGATGTGCCCGCAACCAAGGTACATGCCCTTGATCAGAATCGAACCTGGGACCCTTCAGTCCGCAGGCCGACGGTCTATCCACTGAGCTAAACCGGTTAGGGCAGGAATCTCTCATTTTAACAAGGAATTGAATGCCTGGTTATTGAAGTAAGAAGACATGCAGGCTTAGTCAGCCAGGTGAGCTGGCTGCGGTGCTGGGCGGTGCGGGTGCGACAGGGACCCCCACCTTGAATGTGGAGCCGCCCTGCACCTGCGTCTGTAGGGGTGCCCTGTGGGGTGGACGTCGAGGTCCCTGCCTCCTCACGGCTGCATTCTGAGCTCCCAGCTCTGGGCCTGCTTTCTCTGGGCTGAAAAGGTGATTAGCACTCCCTAAAAGTTGTATTGAGCCTGGCCGGGTGGCTCGGTGGAGCATCAACCTGTGAACCAGGAGGTCACAGCTCTATTCCCGGTCGGGGCACATGCCCGAGCGGCGGGCTCGATCCCCAGTGTGGGGTGTGCAGGAGGCAGCCAATCCGTGATTCTCTCTCATCATTGATGTTTCTATCTCTCTTTCTCCTTCCCACTCCCCTCCTCTCTGAAATCAATAAAAATATATAAAAAAATAAAAATAAAAGTTGTTTGAACGTTCACCTGTGGCAGTTACTGGGGCCCAGGGTAGACAAGGGCAAAAGGGAGAGGATTTGTATCGACAGGTGGCTTCCGACAGCCTCCCCTCTGGTGACGCAGAGACTCCGAACGGCTCCCTTCGAGCCGGTCTCCACCAGACCCAGGTGCTGC